TGTTAATGAGAATGCAGAGAAAAAATTCTCCTGCCCTGCAGTCAAAATGAGATTTCGTAGAAGAGCAGAGATGTAAGACCTCAGCAGCAAGACGAGCATCCCACCTAAACACTGTATCTCCTCAAACACACTCACAGCCTCCACACTTATGAGTGAGAGTAGAGCAAGGATTGGAGACTTACAAAGGACAGTGCAAAAGACAATACCCAGCACTTCTCTACCTATAGCTGAGAAGCATCTACTGCCACCGGCAATTGTGTTCTATAACCTTAGGTATCTTCCTGAGGCAGGATCCGGGCCCAAGTGCATTCATTTAATATCAGGTAATTTCTCATTAAGACTTCTATATCCCATACTTGCAAGAGATGGGCTCAGTAAACTGTCAGCAGTCCCCATCCTTAAATACTATGAGGTTAGCAGTCAAGATCTCTCTGCAACAAGCACAAACATACTCATTAATTGCAAACATCCAATAGCTCTTCTCTTACAGTGGAGGTATTCTGAAATGTTATTGCTGTGAACATCATTGTCTCCTTACTTGGCTTGGTAACCATAGCATGCAAGCGGAGGTAGGAAAATAAATTATATAGTATTCACTGCAATTATGTTCAGTACCTTATAATGAAACCCTCTAAGTACGTTATGTAATTAACATACAAACAAGCTGTTGAAACAAGGGTTGGAGTCTGTAAAGGCAAAGGCATCCACAGACCCAGAGCCTCCCCTCAACTCTAACTTGCTCTCAAATGCAGAGGAGATATAGCATAGAAAATTACTAGCCACTTTCACATTATTATAGCAAGGTCTGCCAGCTTAATATACTATCAGTTAATATATTCATAACGTTTTGGTGTGGGCCCATGAATTTATTTGCTTAGCAGACTTTTAGTGCATTCGACCTGATGTGTGACTAAGGTACAACCATTTGCTTAAAGCAGGGGTGCTCAACCCCAGGCCCACAGGCCAGATCTGGCCCATGGACCCATGTCATCTGATCCACCCTTCCCATGGGTCTGAAAATTCAGTCATGGAAGAGCAGTGGCAGCATTTACTGCCTCTCTGGTGTTGCCAAATTTCCAGACAGGAGGGATAGCATTGCCCTGCTAACTCAGGTGCATGAGGTGTAGGGGTGCACAGATAGGGATTCTGAGGCCAATAGCAATAGCCAATTTTTAAGGAGGTATATCAGCCGATACTGATCCAATTTCCAATACAGCATGGAGAGCTGCCTGCAGCTTGTAAGTCTGTTGTGGTGGAAGGGGAGAGAAGGGGCACCCGTGGTGAGGGAGGGAGTGGCTCTGGGGCAGGGACAGGGACTAGGGTAGGTGCTGTCCAGCCAAGACGGGGCGGGGGACGGAGCTGTGGCTCATCCAGGGAGCACAGGGAGGGGGGACAGCTCCTGCTGCTGTGTGTACCCCAGGAGGGCACAGGGGGGGCATGTACCCCCCGGATCTGCATGGGGTGGGGTGGGCTGCTGCTGCAGGTTGAGGCTGGGGCTGGAGCTGGGGCTGCAGTGGGATCTTCCAGGTGGGGACCGGGCCAGGCTACACTTGGCGCAGGCAGCGGCAGCTGCACTGGGAGGGGGCTAAGGGGAGCTGCAGCCACCCCAAAATTTTCTGTAGCTCCCCCATAACCCCTCTTCCCATTGCTGCCACTGTCCACCCTGAGCACAGCCTGGCCCAGCACCCTTGCTGGGAAGAGCCTGGCGCAGCCTCAGCCCAGCCCATAGTGGCATTTCCCCCGCTCCACCTCACCCCGCCCTGTACAGATTTGAGGGCACATGCCTCCCCCGCACGCCCTCTCAGGGTGAATGCAGTTGCGGGAGCTGCCCCATCCCCATGCCCCCCGGATGAGCCACGGCTCTGTCCCCCGTCCCACTCCAACTGGGCAGCACCTGCCCCAGCCCCAGCCCCACTTCCTCCTTCACTGCGGAGGCCTTGATTTGCACCCCCATGCACCTTTCCTCCCCTCTCCCAGTCCACCACAGCAGACTTACCAGCTGCATACAGATCTCCAAACTGCCAGGCTGTACTTCTCACCACCTACATGCTGTGCCATTTATCGGCCACCTTATCAGCCACGTCAGGCCAATTTCTGATACCGCCAATTTTCTTTATATCGGTGCCAACTGAATATTGAACTGATGTATCAGTGCACCTATAATAAAGTGGCATGGGGCTGATGTGGGCCTGAAGGACACGCAGGTCCTGTCCCAACTTGCAAGGCTAGGCTAAGGTGGTAGCTGGATCGATGGGGATGCACAGGGCTGGCTGGAGGCAGCACGTGCCCAATCCAGGCACACAGAGCCAGGTGGGGTGATGTGGGGCTCAATCCAGGTAGGGCTGTGCAGAGGCAGGAGAGAGGCTTGATCCTGGCAAACAGAGATGATCCAGTCCATGAATTTGCTCCCTCACCACTCATCCAGTATTCGTGGCCAAAAGATTGAGCACTAGTGGCTCAAAAGAGTTGCGTCAACAAGCTATTATGCTACTATATTTTTCTGTCCAGACTTTACCATTATGGAACATACTTATAGAACTTAACAGAAAATTATTCCTTTACAGAATTCCACAATTACTTTGAAAAGTTCCTTAAAAGCTCTGGTCATGTTCCCCTCCACTCCCTTACATGCTAGGAATCACCTATTAAGGGTATTATTTTCTAGGAAAGATGAGCATATTTGATCATATGTATCTAAAGCAGTGGTTCCCAACCCCAGGTCGCAACCCAAATAAGGACTGCAGGGGCAATGCCGGCGGCACCGCACAAAAAAGACAAGCTGCTCCGCGTGCTGGGAGATCCCCCGCCCCCAGGCCGCCACCACTGCACTCCACTCTCAGCAGCGGGGTGTAGAAAAAAAAGTTTGGGAACCAAACTAAAGAGATGTGGAACTAGAACAATTTCTATTTCCTTTCTTGTCTTCATTTTGCTGACAACAATACTGTCACAGCACATTTCAGGAACAAGAAATCATATAATCACTGATTGAGGACTGTGAGTAAAATATACTTTTTATTTATCCTAAAGAATCTGTTTAGTTAGGGAATTTACTTATGATTATTAATTCTGAATGG